AGGTTTCAGGAATTTCGAAGTGACTTATATGGATCCCAGCACCAAGTCCATGGGTATGTTTTTAAATAAAAGAATATCCAGCACCCAGGAAGGTAAAATTAAAAACATCTGGCATTCAGTCAAATATTATCAATCATTCAAAGCAGGAAAATGTGACCCATAATGAGAAGAAAAATTAGCTTATCAAAACTGACCCATAAATAAAGAAGACGATAGAATTAGTACCAGGCACATTAAAACAGTTACTACAACTATAACTTATATACCAAGAAGGTAGAGAAAATGTACGCATGGTAAGGAGAGGTATATAAGATCTTTTTAAAAAATACAAATTTAACTTGAGGTATGAAAAACATGAAGTTTGAAAATGGAGCTACTCTATGACCCAGCAATTGCACTACTGGGCATTTACCCAAAGATACAAATGTAGTGATCCGAAGGGGCACCTGCACCCCAAAGTTTATAGCAGCAATGTCCACAATAACCAAACTATAAAAAGAGCCCAGATGTCCATTGACAGATGAATGGATAAAGAAGATGTGATGTGTGTGTGTGTATATATATATACACACATACACAATGGAATATGACCCAGCCATCAAAAAATGAAATCTTGCCATTTGCAATGACGTGGATGGAACTAGAGGGTATCATGCTAAGTGAAATAAGTCAATCAGAGAAAGACAATTATCATATGATCTCACTCATATGTGAAATTTAAGAAACAAAATAGAGGATCATAGGGGAAGAGAGGAAAAAATAAAACAAGACAAAATCAGAGAGGTAGACAAACTGTAAGGAAACAGAATGAGAGTGGCTGGAGGCAAGGGGTGTGGGGGGGTGGGGTGACTGGGTGATGGACATTAAGGAGGGCACGTAATATAATGAGCACTGGGTGTTATATGAGACTGATGTATCACTGACCTCTACCTCTGAAACTAGTAACACTTTATATGTTAATTAATTGAATTTAAATTGATAAAAAAAAAGGAAAACCCAAAGTTTGAGATGAATCATACACAGGATGGGATTAAATATACTAGAAAATATCTGTGAATTTAAAGATACAGCCATAAAAACAACCCAAAGTGAAACATGGTAAGGAAAACATCTGAAAAATAGTGAACGTCAGTTGAAGGACTTTATGTGCACCTAATATATGTATAATTTTGATGGAACTGTGGTCTATCTTGATTTTGGTTATGGTTATGGTTATATGATTGTATGTTTTCAAAATTTGCCAAACCATACACTAATACTGGGTAATTTTGCTGTACGTAAATTGTATCTTAATAGTAATAAATAAACAACTAGAAAAAAGTGACCAGTAGCAAACTGAACTCTGGCAATCTAATCTTAGAGGGGTTTGCATTTGGTACATCCCTCATGTTCTGCATTCAATGTTTTTCCTTTGACTACCTGGTGGACAGAACGGTGAAGTCTCTCTGTCCTGGCTCTGCCCTATTTAACAGTAAGAACTTAGACACCTTACTTAGCCTCTCTGGGACTCAGTTTACTCATCTTAAAAATGGAGATAACACCGATTCATTCACTCACACATGTAGTCCTGCATCAAGCAACACATATGGAGTGCTGACTCCCTGCCAGGTACTGTGCAAGATATTGGGGGGAAGGGACACCGTGTTTGCCCTCAAGGTGCTTGATCACAGAATTGCAGAGTAAATGAGAGCAATGGAACCAGGCAGAAATCATTTAGTCCAACATAAGAAAATGGAGATCTCAAGAGTGAAAATGACTTGCTCCAAGGGCTTTGAGTTTGTGAGTGACAGAGTTTTGAGTACAAACCAAGTCTTTTTGCCTAAAACACAGACTTACTGTTAATTACATGCCAGGTTGATAAAAAGTTGTTTGGTTTGTTTTTTTTTTTTTTCTCCAGTGAAAGGTATTTCCTCTTTAATCTTGGAATGAAAATTTAAAATCAGTGGATGCTCGCACAAGGGAGGTTTTACAGGTGATGAAGATGAAGATGATGATCATGATGATGATAATGAAGATGATGATGATGATTTTACCTGGACTGTGTTTTTAAAAAACTTTAACCAGTCATCTACATTTTAAAGAAGCAGGAGTTTTACAGAGAAGTTGAAATGGTTTAGTTTTCCTTGAAGAATTTTAATATCTGACTCGACTGGTACTGAAACCCACCTTCTGATGGGGTGACAATCTCTGGAAATGATTATCAGCTGCCCCAAGCAGCTGGAATCTGGGCTCTCCCGTACCAAAGCCCTCACCCTGCTCGCCTCTTGTATTTCTGTTACCTGCTTGGCCCTTAGGACACATTATATTTTGCCTTAAACTTACAAGATTACTGGTTTTAGTTACCACTCCACACTGGCTATATTGGGCATCTCAATCTTCTAGTGGTTTTGCGAGGCAACCAACACCACAAAATATCAACAAGATGGGCCCCAAGCCAGGCTGTAATGATACCTCGAGGAAACTCAAGGCAGCAATGAGAGGCATCTCCGGCCACACTCAAAGCTACAGGACACCGAATCTTTATATAAAAATAAATGCGTAGGGCATTGCTCTTCTATTTTGATTTGTAAATTAATTTTAAAAATTTGGATTTTACTTGCCCTTTCAATTCAAGGGTCTACATAGCAAGAGGTAATTTCTATTTTCCCCCTTTTGGCCATTTTTTTTCTGGCTTCGGGTTAGAGTTCAATCTAGTTCCATAAATCTGCATTACAAGGCAGCCATTAGCACTGAAATGTGCCAACAAGTCAAAGTGACTCTCAAGAACCAGGCTCTTCCTTTACTGGGAGGACAGGAGTGTTTAAACCATTGTCAAGCAAATCTGTCAATGCTTTCTCAAGTATTTATAAAAGGATAAAGTGGATTGTGCCTTAGAGTTGATGTGCCCGGTCTGAGTACCTGGATAATCTCAGTGAGCTTTAAGCCCCATTATTGCAACCAAACCAAATTGCTGCAGCCCCCATACCAAAATATGCCCCCACAGCCCATGCAACAAATGCCTTTCTGGAAAAGGCACAGCTGAAATGTCAGAGCAAGCTGAATGCCTAACACTGCATTTTAATAGCAGCAACCCAGAGGGTCAGTGTGCAAATCTAACTTCTGTGTCCACTCTTGGCCACGGACTCAATGAAGTTGGCAATCTTGGGCTGGCGTGGAGCCTCTAGGTGAAGGGAAAGGATGTGCTTGTTGAATGGTATAAAATTGTGTAATGTGTCTCTGAATCCAATTACTGGTGTCCTTATAAGAGCAGATACACAGACGGGGCTCCTGAGGGCCTCAGTCAGTTAAGCATCCAACTCTTGGTATCAGCTCAGGTCATGATCTCAGGGTTGTAAGATCAAGCCCTGGGTCAGGCTCTGTCTCAGCATGGAGTCTGCTTGTCCCTCTCCCTCTGCACCTCCCCCAGCTAGCACTCTCTCTCTCTCTCTCAAATAAATAAATGAAATCTTTAAAAAAAAAAAAGTTAAGGGCAGATACAGAGAGACAAAGAGAAGATGCACACAGAGGGAAGAAGGCCATGTGAAGATGGAGGCGGACATTGGAGTGACAAGGAAGACCAAGTATCGCTGGCACTGACTAGAAGCTGGGAAGCAGTAGGAAGGATTCTTCCCCAAAGTCTCCCTCAAAGTCAGCATGGCCCTGCTGAGTCCTTGATTGGACTGCTAGCCTCCAGAACCATGAAAGAATAAATCTCTGTTGTTTTAAGCCATCTGTTTTATGGTGATTTTTAAGGCAGCCCTAGGAAATGAAGACAAACTGTAATGGAAGCATGCCATCTAAAGGAGGAGGACTGCTGATGCTGTCCAGTCCGGGGCTTAGGCTAGAAACAAGTTCAGGATGAGATAAGGCCCTTGGAGTATGTGGGTTCATAGAGGAGAGAATGGGGTAGAATCAGAAAAAAAAACTTAGCAAAATTCATTACGACTGTGATACACAGCACACAGTAGAGAGAAGATAATATTCAAAAGCCAAAAATTTAGGACCAGGTATCTGAGACAATGCCTTTGTTTCATCACCATTGTCTAAATTTGTGGGTAGAATAATATCCCAGCACCTACAGTCTTATAAATCCATAAAAACTACATTAAAAAAAAAAAAAAAACCTTGATGAATTGGGTAGGAAGATGGGGAGAAGTCAGAAGGAGGAAAGTGTGAGAAGGAGAGAGAGACAGAGATATCTTTTCAAGAAGAGATAGGAATGCTTATGTGATGTGATTCATGTGGTTCAGTGTCACAGTAAAGTTGCAGTCAAAAGAGCACTGTCCATGTAATCAAAAGTAATTTAGAAATAACTCATGTCCTTTTGTATGTTTCTCTTAACACCAAAAAAAAAAAGACACAATTTCCAGCAATACTTATTTAAAGCTCCCATTTTTTTTCCTGCTCTGAACAGTCCTCACTTGCCACAGTTGCTTTCTTCCACTTGGGATTCTTCCCAAATCCCTCCACATCTTCTTTTTATGTGCCTCTTTCCATTCTCTTCTTTACTCCTTTTCCTCTAGATTCTCCAATACGATAGTTTCAGGATCAGTCTGGCCAGGCAGGACCTTCCTAAGGGGAAGTACATAGATTGAGCAGATCAAACCATCATCCTCTTGACTAACTAGGGGTTCAGGGTAAGACTGGGGACATCCAGAAATGAGTGATGAGTACATATATTGTTGGGAAGAGGCACAGATTGTGGTTAAACAGTAACCCATGCTTCTTTTGCTTCCAAGCTTGAAAGCAAAGGTTTTGATCTTTGACACTAAGCAAGATCTTGCACTAAGCATGCATCTCTAAATGCATGAAATACTAGTGTATTTAATTCCATCTCCAAAGTGATACAGGTCTTCTGCATTTGTTGGCATGGGGATGGGAGAGTCAAGGGAAAGCAAAATAGTTAAAATGCTGGGGAATAATGTTGCCTGAGTGTTTCTCCATCTAGGGCTTGGCGTGGAAAGTGTATAGTCCTGACTATGATAATGTCCCTTTAGCCTACCTCTGTTTTCAAAAGCAGTTCTTGAAAGAAAGTACAGAATCAGCTTATAATGGTGGCATCCTATGACAAACGACAAGCTTCTTCTGTCAATCTTCCCATCTTCTGCTTTAAGTCTGTATCTAAAAGATGTAAAACAACCAGAATTACAGGGAAATATGCTCTCTGAGGACTGAGCCAGTGGTTACCTGGGACAAGCAGACATACCAGAGGTGTACCCACGATAGCTCTATAATTGAATAAACCTAAATTCCAACTAAGGTCTCTTGCTTTTGGAGTCTACAGATTGGAGGTTACAGATCAGAGTCTACAGATTGGAGGTTACAGGTTGGAATCTACAGATTGGAGGTTACAGATTAGAGTCTATAGATTGGAGGTTACAGAAAAAAATGAACAGCTCCAGGGGCAATGGTGATCCAATGGGGTGGAGGCGGGGCAGGGAGTAAGAGCCAGAAAAGGGACTCTGAGCATATCTCCCTAAATTTTGCACCCTAAGCTTCTCACTTGCCCCACCCTAGTCCTAGCCATACTTAGCTCTCCCTTTCTTCCCATCATTGGGTCCCCATCTTTTCACATCTAGCAGTGGTAAAGGTCCACTGTTACCAGCTTCAAGGTATTGTGCTCTCTCCATTTCCCTGACATTTACTCCCAGCTATGTAAATACTCCCATTTTGGAGGAAGTCATCAAGAAGACATGCCAGCCAGCTGACCCAAGAGTTGGATCTGGGCAATTGGAGGCTCCTCATCCCTTGTTCTGTCTTTGGAATGTGGGTTCCACTTGGCTTCCCCACTTCCAGAAGTTTCTGCAAGGACATAGCCTTGAGATAGTAGTATGATATTGAGACCATCTGCATGGTATACTTGACTTAACCTAGTTAAGGCTGCTATACTGAGTCTGAAGATTTGGTGGGCAGACGTGGAGATCTACTCATCTTATGGCCACCCAAGACAAGGCTCATATGTAAGTTCTCTTATTTTTTTAAACCTGCCATTTACCAGTCTGGAACACCCTTCCTCTTTCTTCAGTCTTTCCCACCCTCTGCATATTGGAGCCAGTTTCAAATTATATTTGGGAAGCTACCATGGAGGTTGTGAACCAACATCCCATTATTAAATTTTGTTTAAATTACTCAGTTGGAGTGTACCATCTATTTGCTTCCTATATTCTGATTGACATACATATTTTAAATGCTCAGGAAGTAATCTTCAGTATTATTTTGGTGGAATAACCAGTCCCCATGAATGTCCAAGAGTTCAGTCATTTTTAAAGAGTGCTATTCAAATGGATGAACTTCCCCAGCATCTGCCTTGGTCAAGGGAAGTCTAAGACTACTGCTCACCCTCCTGATGGAAAGCTGATACTTTTCATTCCCTCTGAGTTGTAACTGGAAGGATCTGTAACCTACTATAGGACAAACACAAAGATGGCTGAGCACAGCATCACTTTGACAAATTAAGGAATGTTATAGCTTCCCAAATCAATGTCTTCCCTCAACCACAGAGTTTAAACTTTGGTCCTAATCTTAGACGAATACTTTTAAGAACAAGCTGTATTTGACTGGGATGAGAAAAGAAAGAAAAAAATTAACATTATCCACCAGGGGATCCATTTTCCATACTTGCTCTGATTAGTAATCAGTTTGAATAATGCCTTCCAAGGATGATTGAGTTTAATTTTATTCATAAAGTTTGGGCTTTTATTATGTGATTCCTTCTGAAGCTTTCCATATAAAGAAATAGCACTGTCAAGTTCATGGTCCCTGAATGAGACATCACTCCAAATAGGAAACAAGATTAAACTTTGACAAGCTTCTCCCTCAAAGTGGTTTGTTCTTGTTTTCATACATATGTAAAAATTGTATCATGGGACTTACACACAAACATCAATACAGCAAGCTCCATGATGATATGATGATTAGAATAAAGTTATGGAAAACCATTTGCTTTCAATCTTAAATATATTGTAAATAATTTAGAGGGGCCAGATTAGCTTTATGCATTTGACTCCTGCTGGAAAAAGAAATCTAAATAATGAATGGATTATTAACTGAAGTAGCATAAAGATGATAACATTTAATTGAAAAAGAGACAGTCTATCTGGGTCACCACTAATCATGTGCACAGTGCTGGGTGGGTCCTCCAGTCCTTGGAGGTGAATAAAGGACAAGGATGGAGTCCAGATCCATCAGTCCTACTTCTTTCCTCTGTGTCTTTTCCTTAATGATCTCCTTAACAATTGGCTTCTTCACCTTTCCACAGTTGGCTCTAGCAGTAATGGAATTAGTAGGTTAATTTTGATCAGACATATATTAGAACCCCAGTCTTTCAAGTAACAGGAACAGAACTTGTCTTGTGTTATCAAGCAAATCAGACTGCAAGCCAGTCAGGGGCTGAATTTCTAAGTGCTGACAACCATCGTCAGAGGGAGATAGTAGAGCGGGTGTGAGGGGTGATGAGCAAGAGTCTGGTGACATGAGTCCTGGGTCTCTGTATCGTCAATGACATAAACTCCAACCCTCACCATTATGAGAGCCCACAATTCTCCTGCTTGTCTAAACCTTTTTAGGTGCTTTTCTGTAACTTCCAATTTGTAGAATCCTGACTAATCTGAAGGTAGTTGGAGTTTAGATTTATTCATTCAGTTATGGAGCTGTATCTCAGAGATGTCTCAAGTGTCTGCTTGTCTTCTGTACACTCTCGGGACCGTGGGATACAATTTCAAGCCCAGTTTCCAGAGAGCTTGTTTCTCCGGATGCAACAGTTGAAAAAGCCTCCGAAATTGGAAATGATGATATTCTTTTGAGACCTAAGATATAAATTCAAAACATAGTGGGCCAGGGTAGAGAAGAGATCATATCTGAGATGAACTTCAATATTGAATTAAACCCAACTATAAAGGCAAAGGTAGAAAGAGAGATGGATGGAGAGGTAGGGAGGGAAGTGCATCCTAAGCTTTAATGTGCACCCAAGTCCCTGAAGAGCTTATTAAAATGCACAATCTGATTCAGTAGGTCTGGGTAGGGCCCAAGAATCTGCGTTTCCAGCAAGCCTCCAAGTACCACCAATGTTGCTGGTCCCTAAACCACACTTTGAGCAGTGAGGTGCTTTAGGATACTTCCAAGAAAAGAAAATAGTCTGAAGAACAAACTAACAATAATGACAACAACAATAATAATACCTAACTGACCTTATTGTGATATCTAAAGAAAGAATCCATCAAATAGAAAGACAGGGAAGGAAGTCATCAACAATTATAAAAAAGAGTCAGAAAAGAAAAAAAAAAAAGAGAGTCAGAAAAGTAATGTCCAAAAAAGCTCAGTGTCTTGGCAAGAAGACACCCAGTTTTGCAGTTAATCCTTGTTATGAGTATGGATGGTTCCCAATTTCTAATGACATTAAACTTCTGTCTACCATAGTGAACTTCCCATGTTGATGAAAACAACCTTTTGAATTTTATTTGCCTCTTCGTGTGGTTTTTCACTAGGAAGAATATGGGCCCTCCAGGTTAAAATGAATAATCTGCCCCCTTGTGAGAGTTATGCTATTCCTTGTAAATTCTTAAATTGTCATTATGTTTCTAATAACAGCCTCTACCAGCTTAGTTTGGGTGACTCAGCATCCCTGGAGTTTCTGGCACTCAAGTTGAATAAAATAAAATAAATAAAACAGAGAGTGTGTTTAAATCACCACATTTAAATGCTACCAGGTATGGTCTATTGGCAATAACCAGACAACCAGACAACCACCTCCCCAGCCCAGCCACATCTGACACTGCCAGGTACTTTCTTAGAAATTTAACACGTCCTACACAGTCGTCAGGACACTGATCTTTAATTTGTTAACTGGTGTCATTTTATAATTTTCTTTGTTTCTAAGATTTTTTTTTTTTTTTTTTTACTGGTCAAGTAGATCAAGTAGATTAGAAATACCCCTTCCCCATCTTCCCTATTCTCTCCTGATGGCCTTGGAGAGTCTATTGCCTTATTTTCAGGACATTTTATCATTTGCAGTTCCATCAGGCCCTACCCCCTTTTCTATTTCTAGTCCTTTTCTATTCTTGGCAAAAACGGGAGTATTGTTGAAATAAGCTTCATATAATTGATTGTGTGAGCGTGGTATTAGAAGGAGGCCACTCAAATTCACCTTTTTCATTTCTAAACCTCATATATCGGCATGTCACATATGATTCAGAACTGTTAGAAATGGAGGCGTTCGCTCTGTGGAAGGCAGACACACTTTGGCTAATAGTCCTCACAGAGCTTCTTGCTTTTGTGTCCACATTAATCCTATTCTCTTAAACTGGCTGCTTTGGTGGCATCTTGTCAAATGATTCACTGGGGAACACAGAAAGGGGGCGAGATGGCCTTCAAATCGCTCTTGGGTCGGTTGGTTATTTATCTTCTGTGCAACCATAAGATCAAATTAGTTTAGATGCTGCTGATACATTCCTTTATTAATTCATGAAAATAATGAGGAACAAAAGCTGGGAAGATGGGCTAAAGGAAAATAATGGCTTATTATAGAGTCTCGGGGAGAAAATAAGAAAGGACAAACAATTTATTTTCACCTTTGCAGGTTTATTGTTTCTGACTTGGAGGTAGTTTCACACATGTACACCCACCGTCATGTGAAAATGTGACTCAATTTTCATCGCACGTACACTATTGAGACCTTTGCTGTTGACTTTGTTCTTCTCTAAACACTGGGGAAGCTAAAGATAAGTGATCTGAGTTTTCTGCATCCCTTGTGAACCAAGTCAAATTTGTCTAAAAAGTTTAAGACCTAGCTGACTTTTTGTCAGTGAACCCAACTTTTAGGCTGCATATTAAGTATGTCATTCTACCTTATTACAAATCTCTTTCTCATTTCCTTTTTTCTACATGCATACATAAGCCCTTTTAAGACAAGATTTATGCTCTGGTTTGTGGCAGTTTTAATTTAACCGGATATTAATTGTTAAGCCTATCTACTAAAGGTATCTTTTAAAAGGACATAGAGAAATATTTTATCAAATGGCTAAATACATCCCTCATGATTGTTAAGATCTCCCTAGATCAAACCTTCCTCAGGGAAGGTCTTTAGAGAACTATTTTGCTGGCTGAATTTCCAACACAACAGCACA